TCCCAGAATAATAATCTCAGAAGGTATTTGGTTATACTAGGGTAAATCAAAAAGTATTACTACTAGGGGCCCAGTTCTTATATGCATGGTTTATTCCAAATCACATGTTAAAACATTTCTCTGTGATTAGCTAATGACTGCAGAGAAGTTCCCTCAGTAATTCATTTGTTTTAGTCTTGTTAGGGTGATTTCACAAAAAAGTATTTTAAAGTTTATTAGCTTGAAGATTAGCTTGTTTAAAGTGCTGATCTTTCCATCAGTTCTTTTTTGTTGTTGTTTGAGGAAGAACATAGTGGTATTTTACTATACAAGACTCCATCAGAGTTGGGCAACTTGCAGAAGCCAAATCAGGATAATTCTTTTTGTGTGTGTGTGTGTTGTTTTGTTCCTTTTTTTTTTTTTTTTTAACAACAATAAAAAACACACAGGGATATGTTGTTGTTGTTATGTGCCGTGGAGTCAGTTCTGACTCATAGCAACCCTATACAGGGTTTCCGAGGCTGTAAATCTTTATGGGAGCAGAAAGCCTCATCTTTCTCCCGCGGAACAGCTGGTAGTTTTGAGCTGCTGACCCTGAGGTTTGCAGCCCGATTCGTAACCACTATGCTACCAGAGCTCCTTAGGGATATATAATCATTTAAACAATTAAGGGCACATTCTGCAAGCCTGCCTCCTGGCCTCCAGCACACAGCTTTTCAATGAGTCTAGAGTCCTCAGCTGCTTAATCTCTCCATGCCATCACCTCTGCCTCCTGCTGCTTGTCTGGTTAGGGTCCCAAGTTCAGCTCATGCTCTCCTCTCTTGATGGTCCTAGGCTCCTCTGTTCCTGGAATACAAGATTAACTACTCCCCCTCTTTCGTTATGCAATCTCTACCTTTACAGTTGTGACAATTGCAATTAGGTATGATAACAACTACTCACTATTGAATCAGTGAAGCAATTAGGCATGATAACAACTACTTACTATTGAACCAGTGAATTCCATCCCCATCTCTTTTCACCAGACTCATCCAGACAAGAGGAAAACTATTCAGTGGGGATCCTCCCTCCCCACACACACACACTCTGAAACTAAACTGCCTCTTGAAAACTTGTAAGTCAGTCACTTCATGCCTTTATAGCACCCCCCAATTTAGGTAGCCAATGACTACGTTGCCTGCCCCTATCAACCCTGCCTACAGAGGGGATAGGTTTTGCTCCTTGATGAGAAGACTCCTTTCCTCTTGGTTGGTATTTTGAGCCACTGCATCCATAAGTATAGGTCAAGTTCATCAAATTGTAGCAATTTACTTTTGTTTCCTTTATCAGATTTCTTTATCTTCATCTAGTCAAATTCTGATCATCAAACCATCAAAGCTAGGTCAATGGGTACTATATGCAAGTTTGGGCATTCTTATGTGTCTCTCCTCCCTTCGTATCAGCTGGACGCTTCACTCTCAGCTCTAGCCCTCTGTGGCTAGGTCTTTGTCCATGGCCTCAGGAGTCCCTAGGTCTTAACCATACTTCAGATGAGCCAGCCCTTCTTCTCTCTCTCATCTTGAGGTGTAAGGGAGTCTATGGAATGGCAAAAAACAGCCCATATCTTCATTTCTGCCTTTCCCCCATTTCCACTCACAAGTAGAACAACATGGTCACCAACAAGCTTACGTGCCTGCTCGTGTGTTCCCTTTGAGTTTCAGTCTTGGGGGGGGGGCGGTTGTCCTGAAGGGACTTGATTGCTTTACTTGATGGTTTGTAACTTGCTAGTTCTTATAGTAGCCAATCAGATTGCCATTTTTGTTTTTGATTTTTCCTGCTGGTCTTTCTTTTCAAGAAGCATCTTCTGTTCCTCTAGCCACTCTGGGCTGATCTGCTTGTCCTTTCAATTGGGATCCATCAATTCTTTAAGCAAGATTGAAACTAAGACAATTTTATGGAAAAAAATTGTAACGGGGTATGAGTCTTGGGTTTACTGATGTGCTCCTGAGACCAAGGTCAAATCAAATGTGGCTTCTTGTGAGGGCATCTGCTGGATCAGTTAAGTGCAAGGCAGAGGCCAACTCAGAAGGTTATGATACCTGTTTCGAAGGGGTAATATTGATGGATTTTCTCCAAGGACGCAGAATGATCATGAGGTGCTTATGAAGTTTTATGAGAATTGAAAACTGCATCGGTTAGGAAAAGGTTAGAGGAAATGTGCTGAGGAACTTTTCCCTGTCATTACGTCGCTCAATCTTTGAGGGTAGCAAGGGCTGTCCTATGAAAATTTCATTGGGAAACCTTACATCATCCACCCTCCATCCCTAATCTTGCCCCTTCAGACTTCGTTTTGTCCTCAACACTCTTAAGAATGTTGAAAAGGAATATGAGTGCCTCAAAGGTGCTGAAAGTACAGTTTCATCGTGGTATGAATCAGAGTCGAGAATTCTTTGGGGAAGGGTTAGAGAGATGGAAGCACTGCCTTCAGAAATGTGGAGACCCAGATGGAAGAGGTGGCAAGAAACAGTAGTTTAAATTTTGATGTTTTAATACAAGTTTCTATGATTTTGTAGCAGTATACTTTTTTGACTTACTTTCATACAGCATGATATCCGTAGTTACATCTTCAAAGAATATATGTGGGGACTTCTCAAAGTCTGTGGTAAAATTCCATTATTTTTTCATTGTTTTTCCACAAACTCTTTGAAGTTCCATCTTATGTGCCTGCGCACACATATCATATAGATGGATTCTCTGTCTTCTCACTTATGTATATACACCTGCACTTACCCACAGATCTAGATACCTATACCCATCCATGTTATTGTGTGCTCATGTGTGATTTTTATTGGAGTTGTAACCATCTTATATGTGACAAATTCTTTAGTGTCAGCATCCATTTCTCTTGAGTTCTTCTCAGTGACATCATTTACTTTGTTCAGGCTGTGCTTACTTTACCCACATTTGATACCACTTTTCTCATCACCAAATGTAAGTATCTACAATCTAACACTAATTTTTTTCCCATCATTTTAGGTGATGAGATTGCTAAAAACATTATTACTGAAGTTTCATTATTAGCTGCATTTGACTAGTTGGAAAGAAGTGAATTTAGACTAGAACTGGTGTATTTGTAAGTAGGAATGAAGGGGGAAATAGGTGATTCAAAAATCTGGAACTTTTATTGTTTTTCAACCAATAAAGGATAAAATTGAGAAATATTTTGAATAACAAAGACTAATTAAGATGAATTCTCAGGGCAAAGACCAAATAAAGGGAATGGCTATCACATAGTGTTAAGAGGTACAAAGTCATCCTAGTAAACCCTTTCCCTGAGATCAGGGGTGGGGAACATCCGGCCCATGGCCTGTATGTTTTTGTTGTTGTTGTTATGTTCTGTGAAGTCGGTTCCGACTCATAGCTACCCTGCATAGGGTTTCAAAGGCTGTAAATCTTACAGGAGCAGAAAGCCTCATCTTTCTCCTACAGAATAGCTGGTATTTTCAAACTGCTGACCTTGTGGCTTGCAGCCCAATTCTTAACCACTGTGCTACCAGAGCTCCTTAGTTATCACATTAGGGATTAGTTAATTAAATGTCTGACCAAATATAGCAGGCTAATTTTCAAGTTGATAATTTTGTATGGCCCACAAATGATGTTATAAATTTTGGCAGAAAAAAATGTTCCCCACCTCTGCCTTAGATAAAGTACTTAAGTAATAAAGAAACTAAAGATGGAGTTTGACAAAAGGTAGATAAGCTCCAGTTGCCTGTTTTTGAGAGAAGCATGTGTAGAAAAAAATTGTGGGTATAATTATTAGTACATTAATCTGACTAGAATCAAATAGATGAAAAGCTGACAAAGTTTTTCTGTGCATATATGTAACAGTTGTATGTGATCCTTTAAAAGCTTAATCATCAAAACTTTAAGCGATGCAACTCATTGTAGCTTATGTTGTGTACATTTTTCTTCAATGAGGAAAAAAATTCCTTGATAAAGAGGAAAAAAATATCAATAGTATTTTAAATTAACTGATATTTTTTTTTCAGATTCTAGATAGTCTATTCCTTTAGATTATTTTCTTTTATTGTTGTTGTTGTTGTTAAGTGCCATCGAGTCGGTTCCGACCCATAGCGACCCTGTACAGGGTTTCCGAGGGTGTAAATCCTTACGGGAGTAGAAAGCCTCATCTTTCTCCCGCGGAGCGGCTGGTAGTTTCGAACCGCTGACCTTAAGGTTCGCAGCCCGATTCGTAACCACTACGCTACCAGAGCTCCTTATTTTTTTCTTTTATTAGTAGACTTTATTTGAAAAGTCATTGTGTTAAAATAGATACAATAAATATTTTGCCATCTTAACCATTTTAAGTGTACAATTCAGTGACATTAATTACATTTACTGTGTTGTGCAACTGTCACTACTCTCCATTTTTTACAGTTTCACCCCAAACAGCCGTAATTCCCCATGTCCTCCTCCTCATACGCCTTGGTAATCAGTAATAAACTTTTGTTTCAATGAATTTGTAATAGACATTAATTTTGAAGCAATTTTAGATTTACAGAAAACTTGAGCAAGTAACAGATAATTCTCATATCAAACCCTATTCCTTCCACATACAGCTTTTCTTGTTATTAGTAAGTTACATTTACATGGTACATTTGTTGTGATTAATGAACCAATATTGAAGCATTAACTAAAGTCCACACTTTATTCGTGCAAACTTAGTTTTTACCGGATCCACTTTTTCTGTCCCAGGATCCCATCCAGGATCTGTATTATACTTATTTATCATTATCTTCTCAGACTCCTCTTGGCTCTGATAGTATTTCAGACATTCCTTTTTTGGATGACCTTGAGAGCTTGGAGGAGTACAGCGCATATACACTGTAGGATGCACCTCCGATGGAATTTGTTGGCTGTTTTTTGCATGATTAGACTGGGGTTATGAGTTTTGGGGAGAAAAGCCATAGAAGTAAAATGCCACTTTCCATCATTTCAATGGTACTTACTAACTTTTGATTACTTTTAATATGCTCTTACAGATGTATTATTTCAACGCTTTGCAAAGTTTTTCATTGGCTGTCTTGCAGCAGCTACTAGTGGTATGATGTATGCTCTGTACTTATCAGCATACCATGAACGGAAATTCTGGTTTTCCAGCAGGCAGGTAAGAAGAAAAAAATTTGAGCATATGAAAATTGTTTCAGTATTTGATGTTAATTTTGCTACTTTGTTTTCCAGGAAACCAAAATATGTATATGAGTATTCCAAGTGCTGTCTTATAGGGCATTAGAAACAAAAATGCTTCAGAAGCTCTTTTGAAATATTTACTAAAATGTTCTTCAAGGTCAGAGAATAGAAGCTCTGAGGATGCTTTTCTTCTTATAGTTCCCTTACAAGGGAATTCTGATGACAGTGTATAAAAATGGCACCTGCCATCCTGAGACAGCACTGTCTCCTCAGCTGGGTTAGAGAATTGATTGAAGTGGCCACACAGAACACAGACACCATACTTAGTTTTGTGATTTATTAGGTACTGTTGTTGAGTGGTTGTGATTCATAGTGACCCTGTGCACGACAGAATGAAACACTGCTCGGTCCTGCTGCTGTCCTCACAATCATTGTTATACTTTAGCCCATTGCTGCTGCCACTGTACCAATCCATCTTATTGGGGGGTCTTCCTCTGTTTAGCTGACTCTTCACTTTACCATGCATGATGTCCTCCTTCATGGACTGATCCCTCCCGATTTTATGTCCGAAGTATGAAAGATGAATTCTCACCATCCTGGCCTAGAAGGAGCATTCTGGTTGTACTTCTTCCAACACAGATTGGAGCCCTGGTAGCATAATGAGTTATGAGCTGGGCTTTTAACCTCAAGGTCAGCAGTTCAAATCTACCAGTCATTCCATGGAAGAAAGATGAAGCTTTCTGCTCCCATAAAGATTTACAGTCTTGGAAACCTCATACAGGGTTGCTATGAGTCAGAACCCACTGGTCAGCACCACCGCTACCACCATTAGTTAACAGGTTGTAATTCAGGGTCAGAAATGTTCAAGGCACAGTTCTTCCAGTCAGGACATACCTGCAGGCCTCTCTCTGACCTGTGCCCTGGCTTTTCCTTTGTCCAGGCAGTGCTGTTATAAGTGTTCACAGGACACACCACTCCACCATAAGCTACAACCTATAGATACCCAACCCTAGCTGTGTGGATCAACCTAGCTCCCCAATTAAATGCCTGGAGGCACCCCACTCTGCAAACAAACTCTCTGCCTAGAGTTAGCTTTACTTGCCCTGTAGGCTGGGAAGCCCACTGTTCTGACTTATGCTCTCACTCTTGGTCCTATTGTTGATGGTGTCACAGCTTTCTGTCCCTGGATCAAGGCGGTTCACTGTGAAAAGATCTCAGGGTTCAGAGGCCATGTTCCACTGTTGGTGCCTCTTCTTTGATGCTAGTGAGATTCACCCTCCCCCTTCACCCACCCACTAATGAAATTACTTGTGTTGTATCCCTTGAGATACAAGAATTATACAGAAAGCATCAAGAGAAGATGGAAGGAATATGCAGAGTCACTGTACCAAAAGGAAATGGTTGATGTTCAGCCGTTTTAAGAGGTAGCATATGATCAAGAGCTAATGATACTAAAGGAAGAGGTCCAAGGTGCGTTGAAGGAATTGGCAAAGAACAAGTCACCAGGATTTGATGGAATAAAAATTGAAATCTTTCAGTAAAGTGAGGTGGCACTGGAGGCACTCACTTACCTATGCCAAGAAATTTGGAAGACACCTATCTGGCCAACTGATTGAAAGAGATCCGTATTTGTGCCCATTCCAAAGAGAAGTGACCCAACAGAATATGGAAATCATCGGACAATATTTTTTGATGTTTTTGAGTCCAAATGATCTTTTTATTGAGGGGGGAGGGGTAGTTCTTATTTTGAGCAATAAGTCAATCAGAAACACTGGTTAATTGTTTATAAGGCTTTGTTTAACTTAGCACTATCAGGACAATTAAGGGGCTCTGGTAGCATCGTGGATTATGATCTAAGCTGTTTGAATCCACTAGCCATTCCACACGAGAAAGATGAGGTTTTTCTGCTCCCAAGAGATATATGGCCTCAGAAACCCAATACTAGGTTGCTATGACTCGGAATCGACTCCACGACACATAACCACCACCACCACTATCAAGACAATTAACTGAATAATTACTGAGGAGTCCTGGTGTGGTGATGTAGGATAAGTACTGGATAAGCAAGGTTGGTGGTTCAAACTCACCAGCTTCTCCTGGGAAAACCTATACAGGGTCACGATGAGTCTATAGGAACTGACTCAACAGCACTTAACAACAACATCTCTATCAAGGGTTACACATTGGGCGGTGAACCCACAAGGTCAGCAGTTCGTGTCCACACAGGAGAAAGATGAAGCTTTCTGCTTTTGTAAAGATTAACAGCCTTGGAAATCCTTTATGGTGTCACTGTGAGTTGGAATCGACTCCTTGGCACAACACCACCATAGCTCTGTCAGTTTGACGAAAGCTGTTTCTGTAGCATATGCTATTTCTTTGAAGATATTATTCAGGCTAACTAGTAGTAGTTCTCAACACTGGATGTATAGTAGTTATCATCTGGAGAGTTTTCAAAAATTACCTCCTTCACAGTTTCTTTGGTGGGGCATGCAGAGTGGTGGCTGGAACAAGTCTTGCAATAAAGAAACCCATTTAACTTTGTTTGATCCAGCCTTTCCCCAGACTTTTACAACTGCAGACTCCTTTTTCAGATAACATCATTTCTGAAGGTAAGTCACAAAGTATTGCTACTAGGGTTCATTTATATATATATATTTATATATATATACACACACACACACACACACACACACACAGGTTTATTGTTGGCAGAGCATGTTTAGACATATGTCTGTGATCAATGGATGGCTGCATACAAGTTTTCTTAGTAATAAATACACTTATCTTAGTCCCCCGTCAGGAACCTTTAGGAAAAAGATCCTGTCAAAACAGTGACTTTCAAGGGGATCTGTTGGGCCAGTTCAATTCAAGTTACAGAGGTCAGCTTGGAAGGTTATAGAGATTATGTTCTTGGGTTCTATCATGGGTTGAATTGTGTCCCCCAAATATGTGTCAACTTGGCTAGGCCATGATTCCTATTGGTTTGGCAGTTAGTTAATGATATAATATGGCAGTTATAGAGTCTTGGTGTGATGCTGTAGGATAGACGCTGGACTGAAAGGTCGTTTGAACCAGAAGGTTGGAAGTTCAAACTCATTCACTGCTCTTCGGAAGCCCTACAGGGTCTCTATGATTTGGAACTGACTCAGCGGCACTTAGCAGCATCAATCATCATGATCCCCCATGATGTGATCTGATGTGATAAGCCAATAAAAGGACTTAAGAGTGAGCTGCAGCACCCTTAATCCCATGTCAGGTAGATTACCAGGACTGTGGCCTACACACCTTTAACCTTAAAGAGATAATAGAAAAGTGAACAGAGAAACAGGGACCTACCACCTAGACAAAAGAGCTAGGAGTAGAGTATGGCCTCTGAACCTGGGGTCCTTCACTGTGAAACTCCTAGATCCTGGGCAAGGTTGATGTATTTGCTTAATAAAAGTTTCTGTGATTTTGCAGTAAACTTTTTTCCTTATTCTCATGCATTTTAGGTAGTTTTATTGATCAACTTTTGGGAAAATTGCTGTAACTAATATCTTTTGTTCTTGAATTGTTAAGTATTATATATAAAAATAAATTGAATTTGATTTCTAAAGACTATAGATTCAGCAAGAAACTGTACAAAACTTCATAATGTCTTTGACTACTGTATTTTTGATCCTGTATACCCTAATACATGAAGAGAGCAGAAGGTCATTAAGAAGACAAGAAAGAAGGAAAAGGTCAAAATGGATGTCAGAGGAGATTCTGAAACTTGCTCTCCAGCATAGAGAAACTAAAGCAAATGGAAGAATTGAAGAGGTCCAAGAGCTGAACAGAAAATTTCAAAGATCAGCTCGAGAAGATGAAACCAGGTAGTGTAGTGGTTAC